AGCAGGTGCGACCAGGGCCACTGTGCCAGGTTGCCGGATGTTGCCGGTGTTGTGGCCGTGTGGCATGTTGGAGGACGGTTGGGGGAGTGGCTGGTGCCGGCACCTTAACGCGAGAGCGAGACGGAGCTTGAAGCGGTGTCTGATTAAAAGAACGGTGTGAGCTGCCGAGATGGCAACGGAGGAAGCTGGTGGGTCCTTGGCTAAGTGCCAGGTTGTGAATCCTTGCTTTCCGGGATGTCATTGCAAGTCCCTGGCGACCGAGGGCGGTCAGCGAGGTCACTGGAATGGCGACCTGCTGAGCGAGGGCAAGCTGTGAAACGAGCAGTTTGATCGTAGTTACCTCTGTTTGAACTTCCTTGATAAGCATGTTGGGAACAGATGTTAACTTTGTCAGAGACAGAAGCTGTCTTCAGATCAGCAAGTTTCGGACCCTTCCCGTGAAGTTTGCTCTTTTCTTATACGTCACAGTCTCGGAGACTATACCAAATTCCTACATTCGCAAAGTCCTGCTTACTCACCTCTATACCCCGAAGCAGTTTAAAAAAAAAAACAGGGAGCTGAAGCTGCAGGTAAAGCCTGAAGCCTAAGCCTCTAGGCCCTGAACCGCCCCTCCCCCCCCTGAAATGTGAACTCAGTGGCTGATCAGTAGGGTCCCCAACGGCATGCTACGAGAGTCTCGACCCCCAAACAGCAGGCTCGAGTGCTTGCGTAGGCCCAGCCAACAGCAGCGATTGCCACCTCCGAGCGAACCACCCGAATGCGAGCCGCGCCCGGGCCGTTCGCGATCTCGCTCTTCAAAGCACGCTACCACCTCCAGATGCTCCACGATCATCTGCTGCAAAGAAGCCATCCTGCCATCGTCTCATCCTGCAGTCGCCTCAACTTCGGTGGACCTCCTGGCTGCCAACGGCAGGGAAAGAACCCAAGCACTCATAGCATCCGAGCTAGGCCGAGGCAAACAGGCCCGCTGTAACAGTCACAAGCATGCAGACCCCTATGGAACTGTTGCAAGGTTTCGGATGCTAAGGTCCACAGATATAAAGCCGAGATTCAGGCTTGTATCGGATTCTTACAATTTGGGGGCGGCTCGGTCGGGTACAACCACGCGAAACTTGTGCTTCTTGAGACCCTAGACCCCTTGCTCAGATCAAAGTGAGAAAGGTTGGGGTTGAAGGCCTACGAAGTGGGTTCCGGCTTTGTTTGGGGTTTAAGTGTTTGGTTTTGTACAGTCTGTAAACCCTAAACCCTAAACCCCTAAACCCCTAAACCCTAAACCCCTAAACCCTAAACCCTAAACCCTAAAGTCCCTCAAGCCTATAGCATTGCGAAAGCGTTTTTTGGGAGCTGAGGTTTTGGCCGGGCGCCGGCCGCCAAGCGCTGGACCCCTCGAGGCACAGTCGCAGGCGCTGGAGCGGGCGGCTTTTGGGTTTCCGGGTTTCGGGGCTTGGTTTCAGCTGCAGATTCGGGTTTAGGTCTAGAGTTTAGAGTTTCGGGTTTCAGATGTGCAGATTAGGGTTTCGGGTTACAGTAGGGTTTCGAGTTTCGGTGTATGGTTTTGGCGTTTGGAGATAGGGAGTTGGGCTCGAGGGTTGAGGATTTCGCCAGGGTATGGCAGGGTCCTGTGATTGCCTGAGGGCGGGTCTCCGGCCACCATGCGACGCGGGGTGTACGGCCATCCAACAGTCTGACGATTCTCTTCATGCTTCCCTGCTTCCCTCTCCGCGCACCTTCCCCAAACCTCTTAAAAGCCAGACTGTTCGGCTGGGCATTTGGGTGCTTCACGAAGAGACGCAGCTCCATCACACGGCACCGAGATCCTGCTTCAGGTTCTTTCCGGAAAAACCTTCTTAAGGCCTTGAGATGCAGGCCCTGAGAGTTAGAAAGCACCTGATCGCAGGTGATGCTGGCGGATCCGACGCCTGGCAGGAGTAGGGGAATGATCTGCCCCAAAAGGTGGCCAAAACGGCCGACGGCCTTTTCTCCCAAAGTGGCAGTGCAAGATGCGCGTTCCACTGGTGGGCTTCATCGGATGGCCGCGGTGTGTGAGGACTTTTGTTGCTGTGGTTGTCCTCGCAGCATCCCACCATCCATGTGCATTTGTGACAAGGCAGATTTGCCTAGAAGCAGGCATGTAGTGCTGCAGAGCATCCGGAGGCTGAGGCGCAGCATGTCTGCGCCCAGCTTGGAATCTAGTCGTGCGTTATTGAGACTTGGAGTGGATGCAGGGTTGTTCTGTCGTCTTGGATCCCGCTTTGCAGCTTCGCATACGCCAGCAATACCGCCGCTCGATGGCTGGACAGAACCTGTGCTGTAGTTCTGCTACTTGGAGTGAAAGAATGAACTCGGGTTCCTCGTCCAGCTGTCCTCTGTCGCTCTAGCAAAAAGATAGCGTGCGCATGCGGGGATGCGTGCGAGCATCTGAATCTTCAGGCTCTGCCTGCAAGCTCTACGATTCTACCCTTGGACTTGTGACGGCCATTGTGAGACGACAGCATGCTTGTCTGGTGATTGCCAAACAATAGTGAGCCATCACTGATGCATATTTGCCTTGGCTGCGCTCTCCAGGCACCCAGCTGCCGTCCCTGCAGTCGAGCCCGAGGTTGTCGATGAGGCCTTGGATCCGCGATTGGCTCACAGATCTCGCAGAGCTCCCAATCCCACAGCTCTGATGGTGAACTCACATGCGGTGTCATGACCATGAACCGCTGGAGCTGGGGATACCGGTCGCGGTGGTTTCAGATACGAGAGTACGTCGCAACCGAAGACTCCCTGCCCGCTTGCTGCACCGATCATCCAGCTGGCGCAAGCAGCTCCATGTCAGAGCCACATAGAGCCACATAGATGTAGTTGTATCATCGAGCACGCAGCTGTAGCTGAAGAGGCAGACTCTGCGGTTGATCAGCTTTGGACAAGTCAGCCACCCAACCCAGACAGAGATCAGAAGCACCTCTTCAGAGCTTCCGGGGCATTCGCTTCTGCCGAACGTCGGGCACTTCAAGGTGCTGAGGCGCGTGAAGTGCCCTCGAGGACTCCAGAAAATCCCATCTTATCGACTCGTTTAATTGGCGAGGCGATGGGCGGCCGATCGAGCCAATGCCTGCCACAGCCTTGTGGCTCCCTTCGTGAGGATGTCCACAGATCGACATCTGCGTTGGAGCACCGAGGTGTGATACAGATGAGACGGAAAACGAGGCCCGAGAGCCTTCCAAACGAGTTCAAACACACAGAGCAGATGACGCACTGAGCAATGCTTTATCGTTGAGTGGGCGCAAGTCTCAAATTTACTCCGTTGCTCAGTTGAATGCCACCGTTTTCGACGAGAAGAACTCTGGGCCGAGTGAAGTGAGGCGTCGGGATCGGGTGCCTGCGTTCGAAGTCCTGCGTCGAAGAATTCCGAAGATCTGCAACGCCAGGCCTCTCTTCACGCCTGGGACCCAGATGTGGAGTCTGGGTTCCTTGCTTTCTGCTCGTGCCGAGATGTTTCCGCGAGTCGTTCGAACTTCCAGCCTCGAGGTACGAAAACGGGGCCACCTACCAGGGCTCGTGGTCCAGACCCCGGAGGGCTTGAGAGTCGTTTTGTGAGGATCGCTGTTTCCGAGTGCAGGCAGTCCCCGTGCAAAGGACGTCTCTCAAATGCTTCTCCATTAGTCCCCGCTTTGGCAGCCCCGTTGGAAGCGCATCCGTGGTTTTGCCACTCAGTGAGAAAATAGCTACTGTGGGCAGCGAGCTACCTCCAGCTCAACACATCTTGTCCTCAATGAGAATGCCTGTGGCTAGCGGCTGGCTCGCACGCGCCTGCACGGCCAAGGGTGGGCGACCTGCGGCAGGGCCATGGTGAGCAGGCCGGATGCTTTAGTTTCCATCGAAGCACTATCACCACAGCATCTCTGATCTCGTAAGTGCTCTTAGCTTCATGTGCACACGTCAAAGCTTCTTAGACTCGGGGATGGACCAGCAGCAGCGCATTCGACTTGTGCTGTTTTCCACTTCTCAGCCCCCTGCGCCAGTTATGGACCGATGGAGCCAGATATGTTGGTCAGTGGGTGCGCCGCTTCAGGGAAGGGCAGTTTCCTCGCTGAGCTTTGACTTCGCTGGAGCAGCAAGACCTGCCAGTTCAACGACAAAGCTCATGGCAATGGACGTTTCGAGCACATCGATGGTGATGCACGGGGCCTGGCGTACCAAAAAGCTTCTCATCATTGCTTTCGCCGTGGTCCTCTTCGACAACATGCAGCCCAGGTGTACGAGGGTCAATGGAGGGACGATAAGGCCCACGGCCAGGGAATGTCGGGATCTCAGTTGCTCCACAGCCTTTGGGCCATCTCTGGCCTCCTTCAGTGCAGGTACCAGCATGCTGATGGCTCCAAGTACGAAGGCCAGTGGAGAGACGACAAGCAGTTCGATCCCCAGACCGGACATGTGAAGAGAAACTCCGAGCAGCAGAGCAGAAGAGTTCCTCTTTGAGGCACGGGAAGGGCATCGAGATTTGGCCCGACGGCGGCGTCCTCAGAAGACCGGCCAAAGGCTTCTCCGTGCCTTTGTGGCCGTGGCTGGTGCCCCCAAGAGGTGCCAGATACCAAGGGGACTATGTCGCCTTGCTCTCAGCTCTCGTTTCACGATTGAGGGAAGGGGATTCTGTGAGTCTCCGTTGTGAGGATGGCAAAAAGAACGGCCGCGGTAGCTTCATGTGGGCGGATGGCTCGAGCTACGAGGCGATGAAAGCCAGCTCTGCTCTCGTGCGCGTTTCTTTTGTTTGTCCCTCCACCTGCCTTCTTTTGGGTCTACCAGGGCGTTCCGGCCGCGGAAGAGATTGGCAGTATGCTCCCACTACTAGCTCTTACCTTCTAGTTGCTAGCTGCTAGCTGCTAGCTACAAATGCGACAACAACAACAGCAATAATAACAACAACTACTGCTGCTGCTGCTACTACTACTGCCACTACTGGCACTGTGCTCGTGCTGCTGCTACTATTGCTACGACGACCACGACTACCGCTACCCCTACCATCCACTACTCCTACTACGGGACGACGACGTACTACTATGAAGTTTATCATACGCATGATATTCAGTACCATAATCTTCGTATGGGAACGGGAGAGTCAGCATCGGTGCGAGTCCTGACAGGTCCTCAAAGATAGGCGAGATCATTTCTGCAAACTTCCACCGAGGATTCCACACCAAGTATGCCTGCGGGAATGGTCACTCCGAAAGGACATGTCAGTCTTTCACAAAGAAGATCAAAGAAGTGTGCGATTTCAGACTGGGTGCTCCAGAAATCTGGCCCACGGGTTGACCATCTTCTTTTCGATACCACTGCCCTTGTAGCATGTCGAGCAGGCTTTGATCCTGTTTCAAGCCTGGTCCGACAAGCTCAGAAAACAGAAAGCTTGCCCATCTTTCAACTTGGACACAGGGCAAAGGCAAAGAATGACATACACGTTACAGTACATGCCAAGTGCTATGCCGGTGCCTTCTTTGATAAGTGTCTCATCATTCCAGGGTCTTGCGGCAAACTCCTCTGTCGAGGTGTCCATATCGAGGGACTCCTGGTCATGATCAGGATCGCAAGCCTGGCAGCATCGTGTTGCGGCAACAGCGCCACCCACAGCGCCGCCCATGGCAAGAGAGCACGATTCCCGGCCAAAAGACGAAGGTCCGATGCTTTGAGAAACCCTTACCATGTTGTTGCACCCATGTTTACACTAATCATCCTGCATGATGGGGCAGCTGACTTTAAGATTGGTCATTGGTCAAGCAAGTTTGGGCCATGGTGTTGCCAGGTTTCGCAGCTGTGTCAGCTGGCATCAACAGCACTGGCTGATTCCTGTCTCAACTTCCGCGGACCCACCTGGGAGAAGAATCGCCGACGTAGGTTGTGCAACAGCGCTGGCTCATGCAAGTGATCCAGCGTTGTCATGTCCTGAGATGCTCCATGCAGTTGTCGTGTGCTCCAGAAAAAAACCTCAGAGAGGGCCCGACTGGGAAGCCATTGTTTGGCATGTCCGCATTCTGGAATGGCAGCATTCCACCCTCCATATTGGAGGCGTCCACCTGTGAGCCGAAAAGGTGGCTTCATGAATGCCATGTCTAAAGCAAACTGCCTCAGTTGTCTGGCTTGTCTGGAGCTCATCCTCCTCCCAGCCTTGCAGCGCCACCTTCCGGGAAGCTCGATCCAGCCCGCCTGATCCATTCGCGTACTTCTGTGCCTTGTAGCGGCCGCTGCCCAAAGCAGCTTGGACAGTACCCCGCTGCCAGGATCCCCTGACAGAAAAACACTGTAAAGATCAACCATAACAGTGACGCTGGCATGCAAAGGCAGCTTCACAAGGTGCCTCGCATCTTGCACGTACACTTTGGCCCCTTCCATGGCAACACCACCGAGGGCAGGACGTGCAAATTGCAAAGGAACAGTGGGTTTGTTGGTTGGCTGGCTGGTGTGGTGGTGCGACTTGCAGTAATCTTTTTGAAGGGCTTCCCGGCCGCTTCCCCCTCCCAAACCGGAGCTGCGATGACACTAACACATCTACTTCAACGATAGAGATCCGACGTCGGGAGCCCTTGCAGGTCGCACTGTGGCCCGACTTCAGCTTGCTCCAAACTCCATGACCCGACTCCCGCTTGAGCAAAAGCTTGCGGAACATTGGCAAGACAATCGCTTGTGCACCATGCAAACCCGGGCTATGCCTTTCGGCCTGCATCTCAAGGCTGACGTACGTCCATGTACATCCTACAGGTACGATCCTATACGGCCAGAACCAGACCACAGCCTGCCACCGCCTCTCCCTAGCCTTGCCTCATGTGGTCCGGTGTCTCAGTTGCCGTTCTAGTCGAGCCGGGCCAGCCGATGTCAGCGGATGAATTACCATACTTCCATGCGCATAGAAGCAGAATGTCATTCTCCCTTGGGCCAGCACTGCCCGCCTGGCACGCGCTTGAAGAAGGTCCTGTGTCTGTCAGCCACACACGATGAATCAATCAGGACTGGAAAGTAGCACAAACGTCGAAAGAGCTACAACGACTGAATGCAAGCCAGCAGGTGCTGGCATGCAGACCTGCAAGGTGAACACGCATAGTTTGCACATAAAGTTGTCGCGTAGGGAGTCGCAAACTCCAACCACGAGCACTTATGAGTTTGCTTTGAGATGGCGCTGTTCGCTTTCAACTCTCACAACTTGTTGGAGACGGATTGCAATCGGAAAAGAGTTCACACACATTCAAAACATCGTATGAGCAAGTCCCCATGTCCAGCATCTCTGCTCACTAAGAAGATGCCACACCTCCCGAACCGCTTCCAGTCGGCTGGCAGTTAGACCTGGGCAGAACGATCAAACTTGCCCCAGCGCTTTTCAATGCACCCTGCATGGTGCTGTACGGCAGCAAAACGTCAGATGTTTATTGTCATGGTCTTGTAGCACATTCGCACAAGGTCCACAAAGCCATCCGCTCTGAGCGCAGCAGCTGAAATTACATCAGAAGCAAAGAAGATCGAAACAGTCTTGCACTGGCTAATGCTGCATACACTGGTTGAAACGAGCATACTTCCAATGCAGCCTGCTGCACTTTCACAATTGTCAGACAAGTCATCAGGAAGCCGCCTGCGCAGAATTCACAAGCATTGCCTCCGGACTCCAAGCGAGAGTGTCAGCTGCGAAAGCAGCAAACATGTACAGTTGATACATAGACTCTTTTGAAGCAAGAAGAAGACATGTTCGTGGCCCCCGTCGCCGATCCGAGATCCCTCGAACAAAGCCGTCTGCCGTAGACTGATATCGGAAGATTCAGGGCCTCGTGACAATATATAGCATGCCCGTCTTCTTCAAAGCCCGGCGTCTTTGGGCAGGGACTCACAATGTTTCAGCTGCTCAGGGAATGCCGTCAAGCAAATTCATAATCGGTATATGTTGTGGTACTGCTAATCAGGTGCCAATATTTTCATGCAGCCGGAGAAGCTCAGAAATAATTCGTGCGAGTCAGCACTCGCAGCGGCGTAGCCTGGTGTAAAAAATGCACAGGCAAGTACAACACAGGCTGCGCGGCAGCCTGCTGCCATCGTACAGCCAGGGGCAGAGAGGAATACGACTTAGATTACGTTGAGTGCTGTCTTGGAGCAGATTAGCGCGCGCTGCCCCTGGCGTTCGAAACGGGTCACAGTCAGCGGCAAAACCGCACGTGGGCTGGGCCATCAAGCCAATCAGGCAACACAAACTTACTGTCGCAGCAAAACTCTGCCTGAGCTTGCTTCTGAGATTCCTATCTATCCTTGGATCCACTGTCTGCTCCACTCACGGGCCCCTGCTGCCCACTGGCCATCTGGTGCTCAGCACAGAAGTTCCATCTTGGAACTTACCAATGGATGGTCAATGCTAAATAGACGGCATTCTCGATGTTTCAGCTTCTGACCATGCTCTGGCTCGGCTGGCAGAACCTGAGTAGTCTGCTCGCCGCGCGGTCATGCCGCGTTTAATCATGTCGCCTGCTTCAGTGTGCATTCGGACCTGCGGCTATCTGTCCAGTAATTATCCGATAGTGCTGCGTTGTTGAAGCCGTGCCGCAGGCAATCGTCACCAGCTCGTCTTTGAGAACTCCGACAGGCTCGGCTGATGAAATCAAAACTTCTGCATGATCTCCTGGGTTCCGGCAGTGGTACCTAAGTCCCTCATGTGGGGACTGATGGGCACAAGATGCCGGTCCTTGAAGCGGTCAGCGTTCCAGTGCTGGGGGCACTGCTTTCGCTTGCGCATGCCTGCGGATGTGGTAGGTGGCGTTTGAAGTGTTGGGAAACCCTGGAAGCCCCATCCTGGCAACTCGCATCAAACATTGCTTCTCAAAACACATGCCTGTCTGAGCCAGCACAACCCGGTCCATGTCCTGGGACAGCATGATCTCTCTATCAGTGATTTTCTGATGCGAGTCACCACCCTTGGGTCTGCGGCCTTTCTGTAACTAACGAGAATGATGGCCGCAAGGAAGCGCTGGAGATTTGGAGGTGCGACTTTGTCAGGCATCTTGATAAACTACTTTCAATAGTCAGTAGTAGATGCACTCGAATGCTTCTCACAAAATTCCTGGCTCTTGCCTCTAGCTTCTGCACGAAACGGTGTCAGCTTATGGACTCTACGACTATCGCTTCGGCATGTCATTCGACTGTACTGACTTTCCTTGGCGTCCGCAGCTGCCAAAGCTTCGAAGGCAAGCTTGAGTTCCTCCTGGATGGGACAGGCACCGCACACGACAAGAGTGCGACCGCGTTGTGATGAAAGTCAGCACCCGGTGCAATGCAATGGTACGAAAAACCATCGACTCAACCCAGGCCAGGGGACCTCTGTGTCGCCGGCCGCTTTGAGGATGTTCATCGGGTTGTCCCACGCATCTTGGCCAGTCTTGGCGCCCTCCAGGCCTTTCTGAACTTAAGCCTTAAGCTTTGTTTTTGACGCCAACACTAAGATCTGCAATCATGAATAATCATGTCGCCATTCAAACTTCCTCAACCAGTGACATCCCATGGCGGTTTGCCTGCTACGGTATGCGCCTGCACCTTTCTGCTGCCACGCTCCTGCATGCATGTGCGCTCATGGCCTGTAAGCGCTTTGTGGCCACCCGTGTTTTCGAGGTTGGGGTCTGCTTTTGCATCGAGGAGGAGCTTGGTCTGGAAGTACATGTCCTTGCGCTAGGGGCTGAAGTCGCTCGACTCTGCGTACGCGCTACAGGATAGCTGGCAAACACATCTACATCTGATATATACATAATATATATATATATATGTATGTATGTATGTATGTATATATATATATGTATATATATATATGTATGGTGTATATAAAAAGGCTATATAGTATATACATTATTGGACCGGGCGACATGCATAACGCTGAGCTCATTTTGATAAACACCCTTCAATTCAAAAACGATTCCGGAAACTCAATGATCAACCTTCACGGTCGTTCAAGGACAGGACTCTCTCAACCCCCTCTCAATCAAAAAAGCCCGATGACGAAAAACTCAAAAATAATCCCGTCCCTGGTTCCTAAAGTTTGTCAGCCCTCCCACAGTCGCAAAGAGAGTCACCAGCATATTGGTACTCGGATCCCCTCTCAATGATCAGACAAGCTGTCGAAACTGAACTTGACAAAAGCGATATGGTCAATGAATAGGTACAAGTCAATCAAACGCTTATTGCCTCATGGGCATCCACTCGGCATTGGGTGGTCTCCATGATTCTCCATTGCATGACAAGCTTCATACTCCACGCTCATATGCAAAGCCGTTTGGCCGTTGAAATTCTGCGCGTTGACATTGGCACCTTAGGCTTTGCGCCTCTCCCCATGAGCTGGATGCAGACAGGTCTGTGCTCTTCATGACGCGACAAGACGTGGACGGGCATACGGGAAGTGCAAGGGTTGATAAGGGTTGCAGAAGAGTTGCGGCTGTCGAGCAGGAAGCTTGTCAGCCCCATGTGGCCGTTCTGCGCAGAGATGTGCAAGGCAAGATTGCCGTTCTGAGCATCGACGGCCTGCAATGAACGTTTCAGGAAGCCCCAACTGGGCCCCGGTTGTGCCCTTGCCGTGCACTTGCCACCAAGCCGCTGCTGCAGCATCTGTCATGGTAGCGTCAATGCCGAGATCGCTCACAATCTGCAAACGAGACGGCTTACTGGTCCAACTACTGTACAAACACCATCACGTCTTGCAGCGGGTGAGTCGGTTATGTTCTCTGTCTGGCTTCGCTACGAATGGCCCTGCCTTTTGGATTTCCTCCACGGGCTTGCCCCAGCGAATGGCGGAGTGCACCTTGGAAGCTTCCGGGTGGATTGTGACGCACTCTGATTCCGATATCATGCCCAGTCGTCGGAACGCCCTGCCTGCTTCACCTGCTTCTCGTCCAGTGTCTTAGTTGCTTCAGCAGGCCTTGGCTATCTTGCAGCCGCAAGCTCAAGTTGCTCAGTCACAGCAGAAGTCCAAGCCACTTCTGGTCAGCTGAAGTTGTAGCTTCAGCCGCAGCCGCAGCCTTCTTTCCTTCGCTCTTAATAGCAAGGCTCGAGCTTCCCCCATCCCGGATGCATCGCACCTTCAGCAGCGACCTGGTCTTCAGCTTCTGCGATAGCTGCTTCGATGTCGCCCGTGCCTTCCATGTCTTGGCGGTGCTCTACCGGTAGCCCCTCCTGGGTCCTACTCAAGACATCCGACGAGACTCTCTCTAGCATAAAGTCTAGCCACGGTAAATTCGGAGAAATGCCATGCCAGAAGGCTCATTGTTCATGCAGCATCTACCAACATCTAGCATCCCGAAACAAGTGCAAGAGAGATTTCCTGCAGCTAGGCCTTTCTTGCTGCAGCTGCTCAGGAGGCCGCTGACACGCTTGCGCTGCTCTGATGGCCAGGCTGAGAAGAACTGCATCAAGTCGTCATCCGAAGCATCCTTGTGGCCACCGTACACATCTGACATAAACACCAAAAGCTCTCAATGATGCTCCTGGACCGCGACGCAAACACCCTTGCATGCTCCGGATCCCATTTCGGGAAAGCAGGAGCAGCAATCAGGCCTCCAGACAGCTCCATGGTAAAAGTCACAAGCCAACGCAACGAAGTTCGGAAGCGCTTTTGCAACTTCAGCTCCCGGCATGGACCGGTGCCGGGTTGTGCTGTTGTTTGAGCCAAGCAGCAGGTGAAGGGAATACAAACATCCGCCGTATCCATACGACGATAGCTGGACTGATACTTATCAGTGCATATGTATCAGCTTCAACCACAGCTACATGTGGACATTCAGCAGTTTCCTAGCCCAAGTCCATCATCACGGAATAGCGATCAGCATATCGCTGTCCCTTCATATATCAGTACCCGGTACACCATACTGTTGCTACTGTTGCCGTGTATCCCGAGCCCCATTTTTTTCGTAGGTGTCTCAAAAACAAAGGAAGGGATGCACCAGGTGCCCAGACGCACAGCGTGACACCATCGAAGCGATCCGAAGGCCGACCTGCACCGATGGGACCGTGAAACATCCTACTAGTCGCGTTTGCTGATGAAGCGTCTTATCACCGTTATTCTCAAGCTATTGAATTTGAGGCGAGGCTCTAGATTTAAATTGTAGCCACTGCCTGAGCTAACTCGATTCATCCACCTTGCTGTCCTCCGCCTTGGGGCTCAAGATAGTGCAGTGTAACCAGTGTAGGTGGGTGGGTGAGCGGGCGTCGCTGGTCTGCAAGGGACCTAGACAAATGCAGAGGTGGCATCATCCAGCATGTCCTGCCCAAGCAGACAACTTTTCTTGGCCCACATAGCGCCGCTCAGTATGTCGTCTCAACAAGCTAAGCCGCGCTAGTGCTTCCATATGTTGTCTGAGTCTCAGGGCTATTCTCGAGCCCTGCGGCCAGCATTGCGTCTTCCGACAATTGTCGCTTCATGCTTGGAAAAAGTTGTCTGGCGCGCTCGTCCATGAGGTGGTGAGTTCCTTTGTCAGTCTGAGTTTTGAAGCTCTGCCAGTTTTGTGAGTTGCAGCTCACTTTGCAGCTCTGCCCGGCTACTCGGTAACAGCCTAACGCTTACGGTGTTCAGGTGCCACGGATCTTTGGTGTCTGCGACATTGGAAATCAGGACTCAGGAACCCGGCGCGCTGTTCCACCAAGACTCTTCGAAACAGGTCGTGGAACAACGCAAAAGATACCAGCCTCAAGACTATAGACATCACATGCAAGAAGCTTTCGAAACCGATGGACTCCTGCAAGCGAGATACATTCCTGCAATGTTCAGCACAACGAGAAACACTGCCACTAGGTACATCCTGTCAAAAGTGCCCTCGGCATTGACGTTGCCAAATGCCTCGAAGATAAATCCACCGAGTATGGACCTGGGCTGGAAAAATCGAAGAGACGTGTGAAGTACCTCTAGCATCGTTCTTTGCTACTTCGTGGCTAAGGCCCTACGCACACAAACGTCTGGCAGGCTTCATGCTCGCAGGGCACCCCAAACTTCCGGAGACCATGTAGACCTCAGGCGGCCGCAGGAGCACACAAGGCCGCTGGCTGCTGTGGTCTCAGCTTAGCGGCCGTGCTGATCGCCGCCTGCATTCGGCCCTGCTCGCTCTCATCGACGAGCCGGCTCTTCAACCCAGCCACTGCTGGCAAAGCGAAGGTCATCGGCCCTGAGGTCTCTCGAAAGCTTTGAACCGAAAGCAATAGGAAGAGTGGAAGGAAGAGTCTGAGTAGAAGAGGGCCATGGTCCCGCCTGCACAAATGAGGCAGTTGATCATTGCCTCGGCATTTCAAGCACAAGCCTGCAATAACTAAGGCTGGCAGACTGCGATTGTAAAAGAGACATCCTGAAGGTCTCAAGTGTCTGACCAGCGAAGGCTTTTTGATGAAGACCTTGCGGGCTATGCTCTTCAACGACTGATTTCATGCGTTCGGCGCGCCCAGAAGCAAAGCCATGTGCCACCGGGCATGCAAGATGCTTCCAAGAACCCGAAGAGCAACATGAACAACATGTGCAACCACATGTGCACACACACACACAAACATAGAGACACAAACACACAAATGACATGTGTCATCAACAAACATGTCAGGCTACAAACGTGTCCCCCCTGACCAACCAAGCTGCTGCAATGAAGACGTAGATGCTGCCTGAGCCAAGTGCTGCATCCAATAAACGTGCGATGGAGATGTTCAACAGGCATGTCAGCGCAACCATTTCTGTCAAACGCATCTTTCCTACACCTCCCGTCGCCTCGCACATCCTGAAGAAAATTTCAGAGAACTCTGAATTTCCTCTTGGCGACCTACGAGTCGGCCAAAGGCCATGGTTCCAATCTCCCCGATGTAGATCACCTGGTTGCGTTTTGCTACGATCCCCCTGGAATCGCACGTTATTTTCGACTCTCCTGTGGCATTTAATTCGTGCCGCTGGGCCTGGGGGGGCAGTGAGTGGCTGAGTGATCGCAATCGGAGTGCAAACGTGCGAAGATGGCTGATGGGCGACAAACGGCATGGTCCAGATCGCATGCTGCAACGAAAAACTCGTGGGAAGAAACTGGGCCCATGTGCAAAGATGATGGCAGTAAAGGGCAGTCAGAGTTGGGAACTCTCATGTCCCGGTAGGCTGCAGGCAGAGGCATTCTGAGAGGGTCCTCAGCACTGCTGCTGCCGAGCAGCAAGAAGGCCGAAAATGAAGGTCAACCATACCTCGGCGACACAAACACATGCGCGCCCGGCGCTGCATTTCTTCTAGCAAAGACAGGTATCTGATATATCAGGTGTTTCCAAGAAAGTGCCTCTGTTCACTGCGCAGGCCAGGCTTCGGAGCAAAGGATTCAAAAGGAGTTTGCAAGACTGGCATTTCGCAGCTCGAGGGACAATCATGCTGAAGTCCCAGAATGTCTCGAACCAGTAGCTGTCCTCACCAATGCATCTAGGATCTCCACAACCACTAACTCTAGGCCCGATATGTCGCAGTAGCCAATCAAGCAACAGGCTATGCTTTTTGAGCGCCCTTCCACCAGCCACGAGTTCTTTCAGCTTCCGTTAAACTGTCGAAGTTGTATTGCCCGCGACTTAGCTTTGACTCCGAATTCTGCTCAATGAAAGGAAGCCGTGAGAAGCCCAGTCCTGCGCCGTCCAGTTCATCACGCGCCTTGCAAAAGTGAGATGGCAACTGGAAACTGCAGAGCAGAATGTAGTGACAAGCAAGCCAGAAGAAACGAATTTCAGGCACCCCAGTGATGCCGAGGGTCTGGTAATAGGTCCCCATCATCCGGGAGCTGCTCTCATCCACAAATGCCGCGATCGCCGTGGCAAGCGACAAACGTGCCAGCGTGTTCGTTCGCCACCTGTAGAAAAGTGTGAGGAATCTCCCTGAGGTTGTGTACCCCTGCATCTGTCAGCTTACAAAGCCTACAGGAAGCCCCGATTCGATGGAGCGAACACATGTCCATTGTTACTACTTGTTGATACTTCTTTGGACCTTTACACTTTACGCATAGGACAGTCCAGCCCTGGCCGCAACCCAGTCGCAAAATCGGTAGCGGATCCCATGGCAAGAGACTTCCTTGGCATCTGTCTGTGCTTGCCTTTCCAACAAACCACAACTTCAATCAAGCATGTAAGTTCTGCACGATAGTTTATGGACAGCGAGCGCTTTTCCGGAGGCAGCGTTTCCGGAAAAACGAAGATGCACCAAAGGATGCAAACGGGAACAATGCCTTGGTTCGAGCGGAGACAGGCAGGCCACAATACCAACCAGTCGACCTTGTCGACCTTGTGCGGAGATGAAATACCAGGAGTGGGCGATACCATGAATCTCCTTCGTCCTCTGCTACTTCTGCAAGACGACCCGTCGCATTGCGTCCAGGCGACAACTTGCAATCAGAAATGTTTGATGCAAGGTAAAATGCATTCCCACCAGCAAGCCTGCTGCGTGCTTGCTGATGCTATCTGTCGCCTACATGCTTTGTCACGCAGCTTTCTCGAACGGTCGCCTATCACATACGCCACGGTGTCCATCGAAGAGATGAGAGCGATTCCTGCCACAAGGTCAGAGAGATCTTTCTGGTTCCGCTTCGCGAAACGGGACACACTAGTGCCTTGCAGCTGGGACGGACTGATCTGGCTGCACTCGGCTATTCCGGCCTGCTGATCTCTCGTGGCTTTCCAACAGGTCCACGCACGTGGAGTTCAGAACGGTGGTGACAAGCTGCAGGACACAAGGCATTGCACAACTTCTCAATAGTCGCACGCACATGAAAGGAGCACTGTCGAGACAGGGGCATGTCGCTTCCATGTTTCGCTTCATGTCACAACCGCCTAAAGATCTCCGTCCACCCGACCCTCTCCGATGGTTTAGGAGCGAGCCAACATTGGCCCCGTGTCTCAGGGTTTGGCAGCACTTGGAGGCATTTCGAACAGGCCTTCGCTGCTTGTTCGAGCTGCTGAGACTGAACTTGGCTGGAACATTGCGAGTGCACTGACCCTCAGGGCGCGCGGCCGACGAATAACTGATTCTGTCGCATGGGTAGGGTGAGCGAATTCAAGAACCGTTCCAAACACGAGAAGCTGTGACTCCAATGTGATGAAAAACAACCTCACCTAACCCCTTCTGGCCCCTGGGGAGACTTGTCGTGGCAGTCGAGGCATACGCGTAATTCTTCTACTGCAGTCGCGGGCATGAGTCTTACCCCACCAGCATCGGGACTAGTGCCTGTGCCCACACCAGCACGACTGATCCTCTCCCTCCATACCTGCGTTCATTTGTATGATCTGATATGATCTGCCTTCGAGTCGTCACGTGACACACCTGTGACGTGCCCTAAACCCTAAGCTTCTTAGACAACTTGTGAGGTCTGGCCTGGGCATTCATGAATGGGTTCAGTGCCTTAGCGCTGAACGGCGGGGCACAATCTTCCCCAAGAACTGTCAGAGAAGTTTATGTTAAGCCGGCATCTTGAGGCCGCGGCAATTGCAAACCAATAAGAGACATTGAAGAATACGAACCTAATTGAGAACGCAACAGGGGCGAGCATTGAACACAACATAACACAACTGAGCGTATACAAACAGTGGCCGCGGAAATCCCATATCCAACCTCCATGTTGACAAAGGATGCTGCAGCCGGCGTGCAGATCGGTGAATACCAAAGTTACATTGGAAGCGCAATAGACCTGGGTTCGGATTGACCTACATATGACCACTTACCTGTACGATGAGATGGCCAAGACAATGATACAAAAGCTAGCTGATACACAAAGTCGGCACAATTCTTTACAAGAACCTCTCGCACTTGGCGCCTTCAAAAGTGCCATTTCACCCAGCGGCTGCTAAAATCGTCTTCTTGCGGCCATAGGCATCGCTTAGAACGCCAACCAATGGCCTGGAGCGTGCTCGCCAAGTTTCCAACCCAAAGGAGGCAAGCACCGAGAAGGTTTTTTCCAAGGCGCAGAGTGACAAATTGGCACAGGGGCATGATGAAAGCCAACCTCGTGATCAAATCGGGGCGGAGTATGTTGACGTGTTGCTTGAACCTGGCGAGCAATGTTATGCAAGCCACACGGTCACCAGCCGGTTGCCATCCACCAATGCCAGTTGGCAGTGTTGGGGGCCTTTCGTTTGGTAACTCCGTGAGCACAAGAGCCCTCGACTTCGATGGTGACACAACCCGGCATAAACAAGCCGAGCTGCTCATGTCAATCTGACATGTAAGCTCTTGCGGAGGGATGTCCGTGTGCCTTTGTGCGAAGAAATTCAAGCTGACATATGTGCCTCGGTGAAAAGCACCGGCTCGCCCAAACGCGAACAGGGGATCCATGGACAGTGCAGCTAAACAGTTGGACCAAGGTTCTGAGAGGCGTCAGCATGCCGCTGCCTACATGTCGTGCCCGATAGGATCGCTCTCTCCTCTCCATGTCGGGAAAGCCTATGGAGGCAACCAGTGTCCAGGGAACGATGCTTCCCAGGGCCTTGCAAAGCGGAAGTCAGAGTGCTATGTTACGCATGCATGGTGAGGAACTCATGGCCGAGGCGGACACCACCAGAATTTGGAAGCTATTCCTTTGAGACGGGGCCTGGGACATTGGCAAGCTGCTGTTCTGCTAGGCTTGGCTGCCTATTTGCATTGAGTCTTTGCAGCCGGGACCTGCGATGTCTCCATCGGATCTTCTACTCCCTCCGTGCGGTTCGCTATCCTTAGCTTGGAATCCGTGCTGCCAACACTCGCGCAAGCTGGATGTACACAAGAATGACTTCAACTGGGAGCTTGGCGTATGCTGAGAAGAAGCTGCTCTTGCAGCTATGTTGGCTAGGGCTTGAGCCAAATATTGCTTCCAATATGCCCTCACCACGCGGCCTACACAGGACCGGGCGCGAGCACCGTTCAAGCATCTTCTCAGCGATACCAGACAGCAGTACAGCACAAGGGGGCGGCGGTCCTGGCAAGCAGCTGCACGGTCAAACCTTGGCTTTGCAGAATTCCGGACGAAGGGTCATCACAGAAAGTGGCGTCACCAGAATAGCCGCTTGCATCGTCTCTAAGATCTGCATCTGCTTGTAGGCAAAACACCGCCGTTCCGCTTTGTTGACATCGCTGAAGGCGCTGCAGCCTGCACCCGACATGCGGAGTTGTGCAGAAAGGATGATGCGGCAAGCACCGGTCAAACAAAACAAAATTGCTTGCACAATCACAAAAGGGCCGCACCTCAGCCGTGGCAGTTTCTGCCGCAAGCTCTGGTCCCTCTGTCTTCTCAGCATGTAAACTTTGTACCTCGTTCCAGCTTTGCATCAGGTTTGGTGGGTGAGCTTCGTAACCAAAATCTTGCACGCATGGATCGACAAGCAAGGTTTTCGGAGTTCAAGCTGAACAAAAACTCAAAACTGCACCATAGCAGCCTCACTCTAAGACAGTCTTATATGTCTAATGCAGCACACTCAGAACTTATGAATGGTAGCTAGGCCCTAGGCGGGATGCAAACGAAGAGCGCAAAAACCACCGGCCCATGGCAAATGCAGTTGAAATCTCGTATTTCATGGGGCTAACCGCGAAACCTCAGTACAAGGCCAAGGGGCTGCTTCGACCACATAGCGGAGCTCCGCGCATCGTCCAAAGTAACGATAGTTCGGGCGTCCGGGAAGGACCAAGCCTTCGCGAGCCGCTGCTTTCCTGTCGCACCCGGCAATGGAAGAGGCTTTGTGTCAAGTTTGAATGCTCCTCAAGATAGCATGCAGAAACCTCCCAAGAGAGATGGGAAACGAAAAACGGAAACCATGGCTCCAGGCCGCTGAAAACCATGGCTACGCGCAAGGGTGAGCAGTGACATCAGTGACCACCCTTCCTCGTGCTATGCGTCACGGGCAGCATTCGCATAAGCTCGTTTGCGGCATCATTGAGGCGATACAACTCTGGCCTGAGGAGTTTTGTCAAACTTTTGTGAGCAAGGACGTTTCTCGTTCGAGCTCGAGCAAACGCCAGACAAGCTCCCGACCCATCTGGCTCCGATCGCAATGCAGATACTGTTCTGGCCAGCTGCATGGCGACATCCTCGGCAAAAATGCAAATTTACAAGCCCCCTGATATCCCCAGCTTTCGGCATCAAGAACGAGTCGCTATTTGATTCGGGGTGTCCTTCGCGCAGCCTCGGTGTCCACCACAATGCATCTCGCCAGCACGAGACCCACATCAACTTTCGCACGCTGACGTGGAGACGGCACCCTGGCCTACTGTTGTTAGGCTTCAAACTTGCAAACCACTACGGAAAGCTCATGTCCATGTTTTTTAAGACTAACTAGGAGACTTGTATGTACGTCGATACGGCAAAACATGGTGAGCACAACCAACACACAATGGACAAGCGAACGACTTCTCGGTCTGCATCCGCCAGGAAACCGGCATTCGGACGGTCGGCGCGCTTCGATAGCTGGCAGTGCCAGCGCTCAAGCTCAGTCTGGCATCGAAGCGGCATCTTCGGTCAAAGTACTACGCGTAATAGAGGATTTCGTTTGATTCTGTGCCGTTAACAGCTCTGAAACAGCGTGGGTGCATAAGCTGCATTTCTTCTTTGGCATGCTGAATGGGTCTTCGAACAGCCTGCTGGAGCATTCAGTTGAAGCCAACAAGCCTCCATATCACCTTACCACAACCCAATACCATCTTGAACATTCTCTTTCATCTGATCGGCATGATTTTGACGTCAAGCCCGGCAAGGTTCTGGCAGCTAGGTGAGACACGCGAGGTTCTCGCAGCAGGGTGAGAAAGGAAGGCGCACACGTCCAAAAAAAACTGTGCCGCAGTTCGCTGTGGGGCAGTCAGGCCCAACCATCTTCCTGTGACACTGATACAGCCAACGGCAGCAACAGACGTTAACTACAAACTACACAGGCAAACGTAAAGGCAATGCAACAAATACAACTGAAGGCGCTGCCCTGCTGCGGAAGTACCTACGCATCCCATGATCCTGCCACAACCAACACCTGCTTGTAGATTCTAGCAGCAGGGCAATTGGTACAGTCTGACCCAGACGAGGCTATTTGGAATCGACCTAGTAGTCGATCGCCTCACTGCTCCACGTCGGGGGTGTTGTCCGTAGCCACGCCTTGCAAACCAGATCATATTTAAGTATCACATGCATCAACAATGTAGAGTTGACCATGACTGCTCCATCATCCAGCTTGTGCCACGGAAGTGACAGTGGGAATGAGGTTGGACTGAAGAACATCAGCGCTCATGTTGCAACATGTGCTTTGCTTGCGCAGCTTGCTCTTTCTGGGTCAACGACGGAAGCGCGTCTGTCCAGTTCCTGTTGAAGATACGATCAACCAACAACGTCCACAAATTCTGATGTATTGCATCAAGATGAATCAGTTCGGTTCAACCGGGAATTGATGCTGATTCTGAACATAGTTTTCGTCGGGTAGTAATTAAAAGCAATGCTCCGCATCCATTGCATGTACCAGTAGTACCATCCAAGCTCTACCACAACGAACACCACTAGCAAACTATTCCAGACAGAAACATCTGCCGCTGCAGTACTCTTCGCCCTGATGCTTGCTTCTCGTGATGCTCTTGCAAACACGAACCACCACCTTTAGTACTAGTACTATTTTTAGTAATAGAAAAAGCAGCAGTAGCAGTCGCAACCTTCGCTGTCACACCATGACACCATGACCGGACCGCACACAAAGTCTGCAACACGACTTCTCCAACTGTCTTTTTGAGTATTCCGGTGCTCCTATTTTTTTGATACGTCGCCACGTGGCAACAACACATCGAACGATGCATGCCTCTCAAGTCCAGTCTTGGCGTGGCACTTCAAGATATCACCAACCATCGGAAACGTGCGATTGCAGTCACCCGGCTCCTGCCATCCTTGTGGCGACCTTCGTTGCCGCAACAGCCGCAACACCTGCAGCTTGAGATTGCGTGCGAAAGCGGGTCCTTCAGCAAGTAGAAAACTCGGTTTGACTGGGAATGGAGCACGGCCTCTCGATCGGCGTCAATCTCGTTCCCGTGTGGAGGCTCCTATCCGACGTCCGGATGCGTTGACCACCCGCGCAGTGCAGTTGCATCGTCAATAACTCAATAACTGCTTGATGAAACAAGGACATTGGCGATTCTGTCCTCGTCCGCAGGCGGACTCGGCGCCACAAACCGGATGGTGGTTTGCTTTGGGTCCTGCAACGCGAACAGGACAACGGCCGTCAACTGAGTTTGCGAAACGGTTTTGCGATGTTCTGTGTTACCAACTCAACTATGCAAGTTACATTTCCCAGATCTGAGTGCTGATCTTGCGACAACCAGTGTCCGAGTCGGAATGATGCAACCCATCATCGAAACTGTATCGGTCAGACTTGTGCGGCAACATGCTGTATGCAAGCATGCCTGCCTGCACCAACGCCAGTGTTAATGCCTCACGATCTCGCAGCCTGTTCTTCGTTCTTGCTCGCCTGCAGTGGTGTGACACCACACATACAGTTCCATGCATGCAAGCAAGACACACAGACACATCATAGTGACAAAGCAAACTGATCAAAGCCAAGGAGCATCGCCCTCTTCTGATGCATGTTGGAATACAGATGCGATTCTTGCATCTGTTTGCCGCATAAACTGCAAATCGCAGTGTTGTTTTCCACGACCGCGAATTCGAGCTGATCGTCGGGTAGGTGCGACAGAGGGTCCTTACTTTTGGCTTTGGCGCAACTCAGGTTGCTGCCGGATAGGAGTTCATGACCATGTTCGCCCCTGCTTTTTGGAACCCTCTTTGCTTTGCATTGCTTTTGGGCAAACAAGCATACATGTGCACAGCATCCGAAAGACTTCATGCCGCTCAAGGGAGCCAAGACTGCATCCAACCTGGGCATGATGACATACATAATCGCATCTCGTGACACGTCGTGTGGGCGATATGCTCATAAGCAAAATGCTGCGCATCCTGCCCACACACATGGGCATTGTTTGTGTGCAGCTTGCGCATACTTTGCACGGGATATAGATATACATGTGCCAGCCATGTCGTGACCCGTCCATCGTGCACCGTGAGCATGTGGAAATGCATTGGCCCCTGGGTGTGTGTGTGTGTGTGTTGTGTGTGTGTGCGCTTGTGGCTGTCTATCCGTCTGTCTGCGTGTCCATCTGTCACTGCATGTCTGAAAGAATTGGAAACGATAATTTGCACATTATTTCGGTCAATGCTATTGCAACTGTATCAGTATATGATGCCGCATGTGTACTGGGGTGCAAAGGGAAGAACAATAAAAGGATCCGGAAGAATTGAATCTCGTCACCCCCTCTGCCCGAAAATCCACCGGTGCTGCATGGGGGCTTCTCCCTCGGGCAAGGTCCTTTGCATGCGCACACCTTTCCCGGCGGCGACGCCGGCACTGGAGATGATGCGACATTTCTGTTCAAGCTGTTCATATTCCTTGCGAATTCTCCGCCACAACACCATATAGCCGGCCACACGACCATGCAGAGACATCATTCTGGTATCTATCAGAAGCTTGACGCTCTGGATGCCAACAGTCAGACCCGGAACCGATTTATGCTCCTCATAAAATCATCTTGTGAAAAAGACCGAACTGCTGCCAAGTCACGAGCCCGGCGTACCGCATGCGTCTCTGGTGCACTGTGCTGATAATGTGCGCCCTGCACTGGTCCAGAGTCGGAGTTTTGTGGCATAGGCGGCATGTGGCCGTCCAACCTTTCAACTCCTTAGATGCGACTGAGGTATGGCACAGAGTCAAACACCGACGGAGTCAAGGCAGATGCAAGCAACAGGAGGCTCCAATCAAAGTGTTCGCATTGGCTCATTGTGCAAGAAGCGGCGGCGGCGGCGGGTTTTTTGAATCACAGTCGCCTCGATTTGCTTGTTGTACCGCAGCCAGTTAAGATCAAGGCTCCATGAAGTTCGCGGCCAGCTCAGCGGCAGAAACTCCATCAGCATCATCATCAGCATATAGCGCCTGATTAAGGGTGGGCTTGAGTGGCTCATGCATTCGAGCACAGGCCAAGTGCCATGCAGAGACAAGGCCTGCATGGCAATACGAAGTGCGCCACGTGCGTCTTGGTGTTCGCCGGAATCAAAATTGTGAGCTCTGACACCAGTGTGGATTATCGGTCTGTTGCTTTGGACTTCGGAACCCTAGGTCTGAAAGGAATGTGGCGCTTGCAAGAACACGGAGCTGGCACAGGGATTCCTTGAACACGTCACGACGCTTCCGGTCACATCTGCTTTGCTGCTCATCTTGAAGAGGCATTTTGTGCTAAAGGCACTCCTTGAGGCAATGATGCTGTCCCACTGTTTGCCTACTCTGATCACATTCACTGCGCAAGGTTCGGACGCTTCGCAGGGTGCTTTGCCGCTGCAGAAGTGCATCCAGATGTGGCTTCTACATTGGTGCTGTGAAACGCGCATGGATCACAACGCAAAAATCTTAGTATGTTCTTAGAGCTCTTATCATGAAATCAAGCAACGCCGAAAGCCTTTCTGCACGCAGCCTGCCAATGTAGTGCCAAAGAAGCAGCTATCAGCTTTGGAATCAGCTGCTCACTGCGGGGCTTGTCAGGAAGGCAAGACCCATAGCCTGTCGACATGTCTCGGCTAACTCAGCTTCGCTTTTGCTGACAGCTCTGAAGCCAAGGATTGGGCAATGCGACTTGCACCGGCGGTACAGCCTCGAGAGTTACTCGCAACCAAAAACAGGAGCAAAAAGTGCTGCTGCTGGCCACAGGAGCTGAGGGCCGAAGCGGCAAGAGCTGCAGCGAAACCACTCGACAGGACGAAGCATAGCGCACCTCAGGAATCCGTGACTTCCAAGCTTGTTTCTGCTACACTGGGTCCACTGCTCCATGACATGTAAAGCTCAAGCAGGGAACAGTATGGTACCGCGGTTGTCTCGTCCCAAGAGGCCAAGGTCACTGTGCCAAGCACATGCGACCTAAGTTTGGCAAGCCAGGCCAGGAAAATATCTGCGGACCCTTGGCCCCGAAAAATCTCAAGCTGGTCCCGCGTCCTGTTGCAGTCAAGGTCTGAGAACTCAGGGTCCAGCACTGCTCCGATTGCCAGTCCCCGCTCTCTGGAGCCATCCACCCCCAGCCATCCTGAAATCAACCACTTCCACAAAGGGGGCTACACGTAAACGACATGGACGAGGCGGCAGTCCTAATTTCACACTCATCTGGCTTTTGACTGCCCGGCAACAAGCCACACAACAGCAGTGCCGTCAAGCTGCTTAGCAAAGGCCTGGCCACAAAAATCCCAAGAAAGCCTGATGCCACGACCTTCAGAAGTCAAGATCTTGGCGGCTTCACACAGGTAGACACAGGTGGTAAAATCCAGGAGCTGTAGAGCTGAGCGGGAGCACCATGGCCACAGTGAGTGGTGCAGACGAGTGCAACGAGGAAGATACCTTTGGAAGCAGAGTTAGGACAAAGAAAGGACGACAGAGGAACTAATTACGCATCTTCTGAGCACTGCGACTGCCAGTGCCAAGGGTGCTGTGCAGTAGCGCGACACAGACCTTAGGGAGGCAGGTACTTGCCCGGATGGCCCACAGCGTGAAACTTCGATTTTTGGGGACCTGTACTCTTTTGTGGTGGGCACATGTTACGCCTTACGCGTCTCTGCTGCCTTCTAAACTGGGCACCTGGCGCTGCAGCCAAGGCCTACCGCACAGTTCAGTCCACTGTCGGCCGATGCGATGTTGTCAGGTTCACTTATCCCGCAAAGCTAAAGAACTTGTATGCAGTTGAGAAGGAGAAGATCAGCCCAAAACGAATATCCGACTGGCACCTTTGGCAGCTGCAACATCCGCGCAATTACGGCTGTGCCAAACAGGCCAAAAGCCTTGACCATGCATCACTCATAATCTGCTCATGAAGCCACAGAACCAAATAGTCGGCACTGTTGAACCGAGACTTCATCAAAGCATCACAAAAAACCTAGGCCACGGACCGCAGCTAGCATGGAGGTTGCTATGATGAGCCTGAGACAGTTACGCCGTTATGCCCTTGCTTGTGTTCCAAAGTGCTCCACTCGACAAGCCACAAATTTCTCCGTAAACCTTCTTGGGCTACAGGCGCACTGTCGCGCTGCAAGAGCCACCGGCGCTCGAACCTAGGCTTGCTAAGCAACTAGTAACAGTTGCCCCTATGACCTATGCCCAAATCGCCCTGAGAGAGCATGTTGGCAAAGCTCCAGGCAGCAGCAGCGCGAGAGCAATTACCAGTGGGTTCAACAATCTGGACCTGACGCGCGGCGAGGAGGGAAACCGAAGCACTCAATTTTGCAGGGTTCTGGCATGTCCTGGCGGGAGAATTCTTCGGCACAATTGATTACTGAATGCTTCGCACTATGCCGAGCATGCTGCATTAGCGGGCCAGCTCCGGCTGGAGACAAATACGTCACCAAGACCTGGGACCACTCGGACAAGGAACTGCACTGCAAAGTCTGGATATCGTTACATGATCCCCCGGAGAGGCGGCTTGCATCGTCTTTGCACGAGCAAGCGCCTCATAATAAACCCCGTTGCAAGTATCATGCTGGACTGCGACCATTCCATCTGGACTTCTCCGGCTGAACCACAGCAGAATCACAGAACCAATCATCTCCAAAATTAAGGACGTGCGGGTGTTGCATGCGCAAGCATACAGGTCTCTTTCGACTCCCACATCGGCAAAGCACAACTGGAAGGCCGAACATGAGAAAGAAAGCAGGTCTTTCAGACCCTCGGAAATTTGTTAACGACCGGACTTGATAGTTTGCAATCAACTTTTTGAAGCACCCCTTATCCAGGAGCCTAGCTGTCTTCAGGTATCACTCATTCATTGCACTGTTGCGGCCATCCATGATGACAGCATGCAGACCTTCCAAGCTGCTGGCCTCGTGAAAGGAGCGCGATTCGTCCTGTCGAAAAACGCCGCTCTCTTGATGCATGCAGTGCCTCGACCACACTTGATATCCTTCTGACATGATGGGCACGGTTCCTAAATTTCCCCTGCAGCTTTACAAAGCTGCTAGGATCTGCTAGGACTTCCGGCTTCCAGGCTTTGTGCAGGACCTCACACCTGATGTGGTGACAGTGAGAATAGTGACAGAGCACGTAGCAAGAGAAGACACCAGGAAACGAGAATGTGACTCCATGGTGATTCGATGGGCACCGGCCAACAGTCTCAATAAGTAAGTCGCTTGGCCTTGGCATGAAAATATCATAGAAACGCTAGGATCGCAGGGTCTAAACCTTCGCAACTCGGGCAAGCCAAGAGAAGGGTCACGAGAGCTGGAACAGAAACGCCAAGTTGAACAAAGCCACGACCCTAAGGCCCTAAGGTTTATAGGGCTTCTGGAATCCCCATTAGCATGTTGGGGCACCAAGCGGACCCATATGGTTCAATCAAGTAAGGCACAGAAGCGACCTGCGACGCCCAGAGTGCGATGGCCAGCCACGAGCCGAGAACACCTCGAGACCATGGGTGCGCTCAGAGACAAGTAAATCTCATCTCATCTCTTCGGCACTTAAAGGGATAGCTCGGATAGTTTACAGTAATCTGCAGCGCCGACCTGCGAAGATCGGGTGCAGAATGGCCTTGAAGGCTGCCGGCGCAGAGTTACCTTCGATGCTGACTTCTGCGCGTTGCCCTGGCTACATCGAGTCTGAAAACATTGAGGTTCAGCATCCCCCCGCCTAGAACGAAGGACAACAGTGATGCGCAGAGCATGAAGGACACCTCCACTGTCTGAGACCTCGTCATGTGCCAGAGCTCTCGGCGAACTACCGAAGAAAAGCACCGAGCGCAATGCGCATGACCATGTTTTAGACAAAGAAGTGCCTGTCACGGCAGATGTTGGTCGGCCGGCATGAAAGAAGGCAAGGCTTGAGAAGCAGTGGCGAGTGACCAAGGACCCCCGCCGCTAGCATGATGATCCCATAGACCGGTAGCCATCGCCTCTTGAACGGCCTTCGCCATTGCTGGTAATGATGAAAGCATGCGAAGACACGCATCGGATTGCGAGTTTGCATAAACAGGGCGAGTGGGGAACCCGCCAAAGCAAGACTGGTTCGGAAAAGGTCAAGCCGGACACGACTCGATCGCGTGCTCCTACTGTAAGGACTGCAATTGGACTCTTTGCAATCTGCCACTTCTGCCCGTGAAACTCCGTTACTTACAGATAGAAGCTGCGAGTCCCGAAATGAACCGAGCGCCTGCACATGTTGGCCCCGGCCTGACCCGTTGGGTTTCCTCCCTCCTTAGGTCCTCCTCGTCAAGTACTCTACTGCACTGTATACGCTTTGAGCTGCTTTGGTCCCTCCCCTTACATATGTGGACTGAGATTATATGGGCTTTTCCTGTAGTAGCACATCCTGCTGTCCAAATCCAACACCTTCGGCCCAAGGCCAGGATCAATCGCCTGCAAATGGCCAATATGACAACGGCCCCCAAGGAGACCCAAACTAAGCGAGGTACTTGCATGAGGCCAACAAGTTATAGTAAGGAACGCAAGCTCTGGTAAGCTCTGCCTGCCAGGTCGGGGGTATGCCTCCTGGGCGAAACTTTCAAGCGGTGCATATGAACTCATATTATGAACTTGTGAACATCCGTTGACACAAGAAGATCATGACTGCTGTGGTGTTGCTTTCGGTTATGACTCTCGGAGGACGATTCCGCTCCAAGCTGTCGACCCTTCCATTTGTTGGAGTCATCCCTGGCAATGCCTGCTCAGTTCGTTTTCCAACATCCGTTCAAACGTTAGTAACAATCACGGAATAACTCACTCGATTTTGGGGGGCCGGCATTCACCACTTCGCCCTCGTTGCATTAAGGCAGGGCGAGGGCAGTCAGCCAGCTCTCTTGCAAAGGCAACTTTCAAGCACGGTATCGGACAAAGGCCTTCGGCATATCGCCGGGTTGTTGCGACGCGATGAATCTGGCAACTACGGCCACCTGGGCACGAATGCAGCAGGATCCCGTTGTCCTCAGCACCTCAAACCCTCAACCTCCAGCATGGGAAGGGCATGGGCATGCAAGAGCAAGCAACTG